CGAGATTAGAAAGGGGATATTTAAAGTTAGGCACATGCTAAATAGAGAAAATAACTCCCCGAGAACCAAAGAAGGAGATACTGAGTGCAAACCTGCAGGGGAGAGACACAGACAGCATTCAAGTCTCAGCAGGGACCATGAACAGAGGTGAGACCCCCGGGAGTTCTCAGTACACCCCAAACCACACGACCAGGGTAGAGCTCTAGCAAACGTCCTCACACAGAGGCTGGAACTCAAGAGCGAGTCCCGGGGACCTCACAGCCGCCTCCCTCTCTGTCTCACTTCTATTCTGACCTCCGTGGGGGAGATCAGGCACTTCAAGAAAATGCCTAACATTCGGGATTTGGTTTGTGGGCAAATTCTTGTTGCTGATGAGGCTGAGAGACCCACCTGAGCCTCAGTTTCCTTATCTGTAAAATGGGGCAACAAAGTGACATCTGCGGTTATTTTGAGAATCACATTCTAGGAATGGCCCGGCACCTAGTCTACACTCCCCGCAGACTGATTTTGATGTTTCCAAATTCGGGTACTGGCAAAGGTGCTTATTCTCTGTGAGAAACAAAGAATCTAACATTCCACAATGCACAGGATGGGCTGGGTAGAGGAGAAGCATCTCCCTCCCCTCCCTCCTCTCTCCCGGCAATGCACCTCGATCCTTTCGGCCATCATTGCGCCCCATTTTCTCTCTAGGAAACCCGATGCCCTCTCTCTTACCAGCCAGAACAGCAGGCACTTGGGACTAACAAGGAATGCTCCCTAACCCTTCCCTGATACAGTTGTGCCCTGAACTATCACAAATATTCTTCACAAGTCAAAAACAAAACCAAGCAAAAAAGCTGTCAGGGAATCATCTTTTTACATCACAGTCTATTTTCTAACCCTTTACGGACCTCCCCCCCACCCCCAACCTTTTCTAGAAGCACATGTCCTGCAGCAGAGCTGGAGGGCAGGATAACTTGGCAAGGACCTGGGAGCCAAGTGGGACCAGATCCAAGCCCGCCTGAGTGAAAATGTCCAGAGACCTCCGAGTGCCTCCTTCCAAGGTCAAAACCATCAAGGGCATTTCCTGGCGCATCAGCTGTGTTCTCTGAAGCTGCTACCAGGGCGAGTTTCTGTTTGTTTGGTCATGGAGATCAGATGCATTTTTATTTTCTGGTAAGAACTTGATCGCTTCTGGTTTTTACAGTTTGTCTGTGCATCCCTGGTTATCTTTTGTAACCAGGGAACTGAATTTCTAGGTTGAAAGCAAGTTAGGGGAGGAGACTCTATTTTCTACAACCCTTGCATCTCTCCAGGCCCCATTTGACCTTAGAAGGAGGCGGATACATGGTCTTTTTCGTTCTTGGTTCAAGAGAAATAGAACTCTGTTATCTGAAGGATCACTCCTGTCTTTCATCTTTGGTTTGAGGTTTTAAACTATATCCCTTGTTGATTCTCCCCAGGGGTTAGGTCCCTGAAAAAGGTTCTCTCCAGGACTCTGATGCAGTGGCCTTGGGGAGCTCAAAGAAAAGCCAGATTCAAAGAGGAGATACAGGGTCTGCATGAGGCATAAGGCAAAAAGGCCAGTCAGTTCTAGGGCCTCTCTGGCTCCCATCCCAGCAGTCCTTGGAGAGAGCTCTCGAGAGAAGCTAGAAATGAGTCGGTCTGGCAGAGGGAAGGACGATAGGGGTGGCCCAGCAAGTCCTGGCTTCTAGACCTGCTGCTCACTCCATTGGCCTGACAGTCTCCCACACATTATTGCCGCTCAGGGGACATTTTCTCCTTTCCTTTCCTTTCTCCGCAAGTTAGGTGTAGTTCTGTAAGTTCTGTTTTGCTGAGCTTCTGGCACCTTTAGCTGGTACCATACGGGAAGAAGTTCTAGGCCGAGTGGGGGAAGAGGGTAAGGAATTTAGCCAGGAAATATGTTCCTATCAGTATCGTCTTCGAAGGCCAATGTGAGTGGAAGATATTCCACAACCTGAGCCCCAGAATCTTTTAAAGAAGAGGCTAAGAACACCCAAATCCCACTTGGACTCTGTCATCCTCCTTAGAACTGAGAGATTTTTAAAAAAATAGTGCCTTCTCTACATAAATATCACCCCATCAATAACCAGAATGGGTTTTCCATGTGTTAATACCATCACCACCATTTAATTTTTAACATAAACTTTACATTATGTACAACTTTATTTGAATAATACACTTACGTGTGAGTTATAGAAATCAAGCATGTATATTATATACACGTGTACACGAGCAATTATATTCACAGGGTCAGTGCATTCGGTCATCTCCAGTCTACATCAGCAGCAAGCTGACCTCATCTGATGCAATGAGAGATGGACATAGCACAAAGTGAAAGGGTCGAATGGCAAAGGGCAGTTGGGGCGCGGGAGAACTTTCCAAGACTGGACCCCACAGAACCCTCCGTCGGCACTTTCAACTCTGCTGACCGAAAGAAGCTGGGGCAAATGGACAGGCCTGGTTTTGTCTCAAGTGCAAAGAAACATGGCTTTGGGGATGAAGCTGGCCTTAATGTAGAACCCTTCACTCACAGGAAGGATCAACCGGTGAGCTCGCAAGTCAGTGTCCACTGCTCCTTGGCGTTTCCTTTACCATGGCCAAGGCTCATTCAAACGAATTCTAATTCCTCATGGACTCCTGTCCCCTCTCCGAGGTCTCACGCACAACGGACTCTCCACAAAGGGACAGTCCGGGGATGTGCATCAAGTTAACAGACACAGGCAGCTCTTCTGAAAGATATTTCGGTTTCTCAAATTAGTAGTTTTAAACCGCAAGGGATTTCAGTGCAAGGTATTTATTTATACGACAACTGATTATTAAATCTGCACTTTTTAGGTTTAAAGGAGATAAATTTTTAATCACCATTTAATTAACACCAACTTTTTTTTTTCTTTTCATTTTCATTAGCAATTCCATTTGCAAAGAATTCAGGGCATTTGTCATTTCCTGAGAAGGATGCAGAATATTAAATACACATCAGTGGTAGACATATCAAATAAAATAAACAACGTGTGACTCTGTCTGCGGTGGATCTTTCGACTAATTAACTGCCTTGGCTAGAATCCCATTTAACTGAAACTATTTCATTTGTAAACACGGTGTAATTTTCTTTTTTGCCCCCTGAAAATAAGTGTGAATTGATTTGACTGATTTTGCTGCAATGGGTGAATTTTAATGCTTTTTATCAGAAAAGCGAAGGACGAAAACTTCTCAGACACCCGCCAAAATAGGGGATTTGGAAACCAAGCACTATCCACAAGATGCACAGAAAAATCACTGGCTGGAAGATGCAGCAAGACTTGCAGAAGAGGCCTGGGGTGGGGTGGCAGTGGAAGCCTCTCACCTCACGGAGCCACGAGGGCTCAGCCTTCCTAGAGAATCAGGCAATGCCTACTGACATGCAGGTGGAAGGACAGAGCCCTCTGCCAGAACCTGAAGGCTTCCCAGGGTGGAAGTCATGCCCGACAAGATGCTGCTCTTACAAGGAACATTTGAGGCGGTCAGGTGTGCGGTGACTCATGGACACTGGCATGAGTCTCCGGGCTCAGCTGGACCAGCCAGGCCCTTCTCAAGGACAGGAAACCATTTCGCCTCCATGAAGTATCATCGCAGGTGCCAGGTATCACTGAGTCAGGTGAAGATCGGGCACACATTGGGGCTTGGAGGTTCCGGGTCCTTGGCATCCGCAGATCTCAGGTCTCAGAGCTGGGATGTGTCAGAGGAACCATCATCAAGGACCCTGGTCCAGGGCTTCTGTCTAATTCCCGTCCCCTCCTGTCCAGGAGCTCTCGGGAGTTTCCTGATACCGCATCTCCAAGAACAGAATTGACCGGATTACTTAGTTGACCAGCCAATTTCTGGTCAATGATTTTATGTTCGTGGTCCTGCCAATCAAGAGTCAGAGAAATTATGTATTTTCTGTGCTTGGCAGCCAGTTTTGATTACTTATTTTGAAGTTCACTTTATGTGTTAAAGAAAGAATTTTGTTTTCACTGCTGATTATTTCCAAAGCCACCTTTTTGGTTTTTTTTTTTTTTTTTTTTTTAATCTAGAGAAGTATGGGGTTAGCAGCAGAAATAAAGTTACTAGAAGGAGACTTTTAGATCTATGGAGTCATTCCAAATGTAACTCCACTCTCCCTGGAGCCCTCTGTCATGTTTGGCAGCCCCCTGGGTTTTGAGGAGAACAGAACGCGTCTGTGGATGGATGATGTAACATTGTTCTCTGTTCTGGAGAGACTCTAACTCATTTCATGTTGTCAGTCAGTCTTGTTAGGACAGAGAGGTGATTCTGGCTGGGGGTCTAGAGGTCTGGAAAGAAATTCAATGAATGGAAGGGTCAGGGCAAAAGCTTCTGAAAGACGGTACAGTCATAGGTGTGCCTGTGATTGGAAATCGGGGTCACAACTGAAGGGTCACAGCCCTTCATTTCAGGCTTCTCTATTGTTGAGTCTTGGGCCATTGAAGTTAAAACCTCCAAGAAGTGAAATGCCATGTTCAAGAGCATTTTTTCGAAGCCTAGGGGGCCCCTACTGCCTATGACCTCAGGGATGATGGGAAGGTTTCCTTCCCACTGCTGCCTCTCACAATCCACTGTCGACTGTGACATTTATTGCAATTACTTTTCATCAGTCTAGATCGGTCTAGATTCGGGTACCCATTCCCGAAGATGGAGCCATTCACTGGACCCTCAAGTTCTCTAAGAGAATTATCCCTGCACCTTCTCAGTTGCAGGAAAATACTACCTACAAGACAGAGATGTGCCAGGAATCGAAGGGAGATGGTATCTTTCAACCTGCCTCGCTGGCCCCTTTAGGAATCACAGGAAATCAGAAAAGGTCAGGCTGGTCCAGGCTGGGCTACAGTTTCTGTAGCATTTCCCAAACAGACTCAGGAACTCGGCAAAGAATCATAGTGAGTTACCCCAAATATTTCCAGAATGTACACTAATTACTAGATCAGAACTACATAAAATATTTAATGAATGTTGCTTGTGAATTTTATAACATTCAATTTGTAAATTAGAAAGTTTTGTGTTGACAAAACACCACAACAAATGCCTTTGTTGGGGGGGGGGAATGCTTTGCATAAGCAGGGTGCTGAGAGCTTGCCGGGCAGCTTGCCCCCACTCCCCGATTTCTAAAAATTTAGCATCATTTCATATCTTATTATTCACGCGTTGGATTTGAATAAGAAGGGGTGAGTGCAAGAGACTCAGAAATGACAAATGCTTTGAGAAATTTCCCACGCGTTTCTGTTGGTGCTTGTGAAACCGTTTGGCTCTAATAGAACGAATATTTCAGAAGAGAGAAACCACTTGTCGTACTAAAGTTTATCCAGAGTTTGGAGGATGCTCAGGATAGAAGCCTGAGTGTCTCTTGTGTTTTGAAGGCTTTGATTTAAGAGGGCTGGGGTGGAGACAAGCGTCCCACTGCAGTTCGTGACATGAAGGAAGATAAGCCTAAGCCCACGCTAGCCTTCAGCAGACAGATGGCTTTGTACTTGTCACAGGTCACGGGACACACAGGGCTGCCGGCACGTGAAACCACGTCAGCCGCTCGGGACGGCAACACACAGTAACGAGACGCCGCCACGGCTGTTTACGTCCGCACACATAATGGTTACTCTGGGACGGGAGGGGTAACAGATACTATACAACCCTGAGTCATCACCAGAAGGGGGAGATGCAAACTTACGTACACGGGGGTCTTCGGGATAAAGGACAACGGCCGCTGTGTCACAGACAGAAGGTCCACACTGAGGTACCGAGGACACACGTGTTCGCTTACGCAGCTCTGAACATGACCCCCGAGGCCGAGGGTGGGAGCGTCCGTGAAACACGCACATGGACGTCGGGAGAGAGTCTCGCCGCTCTCCGAGTGAAGGCCTTTGGGCCTTTTGCTCCAGATACGTCTTGGGAATGGACCAGGATGAAGGTAGCGCAGGTACCGCGTACACACCGATTTGCTATTCTTTGGGGGGGGAGCCTGGGGTGCGGGGCAGGGGGGGCGGGGTTGTGATGGAAGGCATAACAACAAAGCCGCAACCTCCTATTCTCTTGCACATGTCAATCTCACTATGGCGCAGATGCATTCTTAACTGCTTTACCGTGTCTGTGTCAGAGTACATGCATACCATATTGCTTATTCTGTAGTAGAGAAACCGTTAGGCGTTTCTGATGAGGAAGTTACATGATGGGTTGGTCTCAATGGAATGTGGAATATAGGAAAGCATACCATCGCCATTGGCATCCGAGGCATCGTTACTGCCAACATACCCAGTGGGCCTGTCCAGGAGACCTGCCCTCTCACTCATGGGTGGTTTTGCTTTAAATTTTTTTGGTTAAGGATTCACCTACCTGGTATCTGCTGTGCTCAGCACACACCTCACAAGATTCCTTGAGTGGAAGACTATGGCATGGAGCCATGTGCAAAAGAACCAACAAAAAAAATACCTTCCTGTGTTCTCCTCCTCCTCGCAGGGTACTACTGGACACCCAACATTTACCCTCCGGAACGGTGGCTGTGACGTATGTTTCCCTATAGGTCAAACATGAGTGGAAGGTTTTAAACATCAGATTCAATACTAGGCATTTTCTTGTACACACGTCTATTGCTGCAGGAATTTAAAACCCTGGGGGTTGAGTACATATTATTCTTATTTGCAGCATAAGGCATACCATGCTCTGAAATGTACACGTCGTTGTGGCCTCTACTGTCCCTGGAACAGTACGATGCCGTGGACCTCAAGGACGACCGCAGGTAGCTGTCGCTCACAGCCTGGGACGGCAACGAGTGTTTGTAAGGGTCCGAGGGGCACCTCCCGATGACCAGGCGATGGTCGTCCCCATAGGTGTGGAGGAAAGGGTTGTCGGACGTGTGGTCTGGCAAGAGGGACTTGCTCCGCTTGCTGTCCTCCAGGCCCTGGGGGAACAGGGAGCTTTTGTTCCCCAAGAGTTTGCTTGAGGGGACACTAAAGAGACTCCCGTACAAATTTCCCTCCAGCAGCCGTTCCCTGTCCTTGAGGCTGATGCTCCGGGAGGGCCTGCTGAGGTCTGTCTCCCTGGGTTTGTCGAGAATGTTGTCGTAAGAGTGCTGGCGGCTGATCCGCAGCTTGTTCTTCTGGAGCTGGAGGGCATTATTCTGGGCCCAGTCCTGCTGGTAGACCTCCTCCTGGGAGGTGGGGTTCCCCGTCTCCTGCAGCATCTGGTCTTCATCGATGTCGTAGAGGTTCCCCATCCGCAGGCAGGCGTCGCACTTGAAGGGGGACCGCATGGTGAAGTGGCCTGCGTAGGTGGGGAGGTTGGACAGGCAGCTCCTGCAGTGCGTGGAGCTCTGCCGGTAGCGGTCGCTGCCCTCGCTGTGCGGGGAGCTCTTGTCTTTCAAGGTGAAGTGCTTGGTGTAGAGTTTGTACTGGTCGTTGTTGGGGAGCGCGTCTTCATTGTGCAGGGGGTTCCTGCTGGTGGGCAGTGAGGAGTCCCCCTTGCGGAAGTTCTCGCCTGGATCCTGGTAGGCATCGGGGAAGTCCATGTTCTCTGGAATGGCCATGTTTTCCACAAACTGGGGAGGGTCCAGGTGGAAACTGGGCTCCTTCTCACCATCGATGGTGTAGATCTTGTCCCTGGGGGAGCTGGCTTTGGTTTTCACATAGGAGCGCTCGACCTCACTGCTGTCCTTGGGGGGCTTGGTGGCCATGGACCTGCGGAAGTTGTCCTTGGTCTTGTGATTCTTGTTGGTGCCGGGGTCCCTGTGGCACGTGGCCCGGCTGGACGCTTCTGAAATGTCAGAGTGAGCCACCTCCTCGGGAAGGTACCGTGGACTTTTGAGGGAGTGGGTCCTATTCTCCACGGTGCCCTCGTCCCTTTGGGAGACGGGGTTCTGGGTCAGTGAGTCTTGGCGCAGCGACTCCATGGATTTCTTCCAGAGCTGCCGGGGCCTGGAGTTGCCTTTGGATTCCGTGCTCACGGCCACCTCCACGGTGTTAGGGTTGGACTCGTTGAGCGTGAGAGGGTGCTGTCCCTGGAACACGTAGTTGTTGAGGTTGTCCTTGTGCCTATTGGCCACAAACGTTTGGAGTTCACTCATGTTGTCTCCAAAAATGCTGTCTTTCCCTTGGAAGGACCTGTTGTCTGCATATATCAAGTTGCCCTTATCAGAAGCCATGTCTACCAGGAGGGAGCCTCTTTGGATGAAGTCAGCAGCCCGCTTGGGGGAATCCATCCTCGAGGAGTTCATGTGGGACATGTTTTTGGCAGACCGGAGGAGCTTTAGCATGTTGCTCTGCGATCCAGTCAGGTTGAAGTCGGGAGACTTCTTCTTGTCCTCGATGTGCACTCCGTGGATGCAGCTGTAAATGCCCTGTGGGAGGAACAGACACAGCAAGAAGCGTCAGCAGCAGCAAGCGCAGACCACGCGGCACCTGCAGAGCGAGACGTGTCCCTGGAGGAGCCCTGCCACGGCAGTGCCACCCCGGCTGGGCCCGGCAATGTTTCTCAGAGGTCTGAGGCCATACTCCGGGCCCACCTAGCTCAGAATCTCTGACTCAGGATCACCTGACTATTGCAAGCAGCCACACTTGGAGTCAGAAGAGCTATCAACTCACACTCTTGCAGCCAGAGGGCCTTAGGGCCTCCCGGCTGGCATGGAAGGATATATAACTGACCACCCAGCACCCAAGCAGACTTTTGTTAAACTTCTCAGGATCCTCTTTGGCGTGTGGATACCAGGGAGCTAGCTGTGGTCAGCATGAAAGGTCCACCGTGATTAATTCTTCGGGGGAGTCAGCCCTACCCACACCCTGAAGCAACTGATCAAGACAATGGTCCCGAGAAAGGCAACTGGAAAACGCCCCTTCAGTGACCAGTCTAGGGGTGTGCGCAGCCATGCAGGGGCTGCAGAGGGACCGGCACTGATGCGGGGGTAGGAGGAGCAGGCATGAGATGCAATTCTAGGGGCCTGTGTCTGCCAGTGAAGCCGTCGCAGGAGAGAGCAGAAGGCGGGGGTGGAGCCCTAAATCTCCGAGTCAGCCTCTTGGATTTTCACTCACTGCACCCCGCACGGTCGTCGTGGGCATGTTCACATGTGAGTGCTGGACATAGAGCTGAGGGTTAGTGCCCAGGAGCCCCAAGAGCCCCAATCTGCCCCCCATCCCTCAAGATGCTGGGAACTGGAGGGAGGGGTTCAGCTCATCCTCATCATGTGGCTCCCCGTGCAGCCCAGGCAAAGGGAACGTCCATCCCAGAGCAAGGAGGACTCCCCAGAAGCACAGCAGAGCCACTTGGTCAACATACCCCTCCCCCCGACCCCAGTCACTCGGATATGAAAAACCTTTAGGACTGGGGGAAGAGAATGAGCTTAAAGTTGGCACAATACCTAGTTATCTGCACACACGTGGCCGTGTTTAAGCAATCTGTGTGTTTAGATGCCACAATCTAAATAGGAAATATATATTTGCGCAGAATCCAGGCTCACGATGCCATTAAGCAGAGGAAATAAACCGTCCTCACGCAGCTAATGTGTGCCTTCGGAATCTCCAAAGTTCTTAAGATCACCAAATGCTGAGAATACACAAGTTTCCTGTTTAGTTTTCCTAATAAACTTTGGCAAGCAAAATGAGGTGCTCGCAACCAAATACAAATGTCTCAAACCCTCATTCAACAAATTTCCGGAGTGAGAGGCTACACTGGTGGGTGTGGGGCGGGGGAGGGTTTTGGGGCTGGGTACTGGGCAGCCAGGACGCATTGTGTCTCCTGCAGAGGGGGGCTCTGGCTGGGACAGGACGCCTGGGCGCAAACCTTGGCCCCACCAAGCCTGTGTGGCCGTGAGGGCCCCTTGGCCTCCTCCCTGGGATTCCCCATCTGTAGTCTGGGCTCCTCTTCCTGGAGCTGAAGGTGAGTGAAGTGGATACCAAGGAGAATCCCCAGTGGCCCCTGGCACAGCAGCGTTTCCCGTGGCCGCCGTCTGGCTGGGGGCCGTGTCACGACTCCATTTTCACAAAGCCACACATAAGGCCCCTGCTGGCACCGGGCTCTTCAGCAGCTGGGGTCGCACTGGCTGGGCTGCGCTTGGGGGCTGCTCCCTGCCCTTCTCGTCTCACCGCGCAGGGCTGCACGGGCTCTTGGCATGCTACCAGGCCCCGGTGCACAGATGGTGGCGTCAGGCCGTGCGAGCGGCCGCCATGGGGCCTGGAGCCTGCACCAAATGTGAGTCGTGTTGGTGGCATATCTGGGAGCTGATGAAGGAGGCCACAACCTGGCTGTGCCTGGCCCCTGGGGCCTTTGGTGGGAGAGCGTGTGTGTGTTTAAACAAGTGAGTCACAAGCAGTCAAAACTCAAAAGATTTCACATAGAATCAGCTGACCGCATTGTCTGATGACATGGGCCCCACATTCCCACAATTCTCCACAGAGTGACAGAGTCCGGCTGCCCCGCTGGCATCACGCGGCTTGCCTCAGTCACCCACCTTGGCGTCCAGATTGTGGCCTTTCCCGTCTCTCCTGTGGTCAGGCCCAGCCTGCTGCGCCCATTCAACCTTCCCCCTCTCCCCCCCCCAAAAAAACCCCAAACCCGTCCTGGCTCCACAGCATCTGGGCTGGTAACCCTGCACGGAACCCCTGCTTCCGGAGGCCCGAGATGGGCTGGTGAGTGGGAGAGGAGGTGCAGACCCACCCGGAGCCGGGACTCCTGCCCCCGCTGCCCCTGCTCCCTGCCAGGAGCCCCGCGCCCTTCTGCTCAGGCCGCTGGGGGTACTGACCCTGCTGATGGAGAAGAGCAGGCCCGGGCGGTCAGAGCACACGCCGGTGAAGCAGAAGCGCAGCTTCCAGTAGAACAGGTGCTCCCAGATGAAGGTGATGAGGCTGAGCGCCATGGCGGCCGCCAGCATGTAGAACACGCCTGCCATGTTGTCGATGTCCAGCTGGCTGCTCATCACCTCATTCTTCTCGTTGTGGCAGATGCCCGTGAGCCACAGCGTCTCCAGCTCCTCCATCTCCCCTGGACGTGAGACAAGACATCGTGGTGAGGAGCAGGGCGAGCACAGTGGGACAGGCGTGGCCTCCCGGACGCGCGGCTTAGTGCTTAAGACTCAAGGCAAGGTCCCCTTCCTATATTTGCACACTGGTGAGTGAAGACAGGAAACACCTACCTGGCTATCTACACAAGGGAGAATGAAGCAACCGAGAGCATCTGGTGCAGCCCTGTTCTATTTAGCTAATGTTCGGTCTCCATCATTGTTTCTGCCCACTGTCCCAACATGCGCACATCTGGAGCAGGTCGTGGGATGGACTGGCAGCTCCCGGGTGGGAAGACGTCCCGCTCTGAACAGCATGAGGTGGAGTCATGGTTTCCCTGTCTGAATTGGGTGTAATGGTGAGGTACCCCCGACTTGCGCTGAAGGTCAGAGGAACTCGCCCAGACAGCGCTCTAAGCTGGCCCTGCCTGGCGAAGTGCCTGTAACTGGCCGTCTGCTGGCCACCACCAAAGGGGAAACCCCAGCACAGTGCCGGCATGCAACAGCCCTCAAACACCTTAGTCTCTTCTCTCTCCCTTAGCTTCTCCAGGGTGATTCCAAAAGCCACCCACGAGCAGTACACTTCAGGTACAAAGCTTCACGGACAAGAAACATCTCCGCTGGCTCTGAGGGCCCTTTGCGAGCTGAACACCTCCCCACTGGTGCAGGCAGTTAAAGAGGCAGGTCTGGTGGTGTTTGGGGCGGGGGAGATGCCAGTGACACAATTTTCTCTTTTATGTGCATTTTATCCAGTTGCCACTTAGGAAAAAATTCTGATTTAAATGTCTAGCAATTTTACTGTCTAGCAATTCACGAGACTACAGTACTCAGACAATGATTCAGCTTTCCAAATTGCCCTTCAAGAGCAGTAAAAATCATGGAAGATACATGTTAAATGGAAAATATGACTGTCTACACGTGATTATTGAGGTGAGATATCAGTGAGATTTTGTGTCTCTAGATGGACCTATCTTCTAGCTATATCATTTGTTACATGGAAGATGTAATAAGAGAATGCAGAGAAAAGGAAATAAAATACTTCAAATTTTTGATTCTCTTTTGAAGAGGTCACCAGAATTATTGCTTTCATAATGCCTTTTTTTTTTTTTAAGTTTTGAGAACTATTGTGTTGTTTTTGATTTGTTCTCACTCTTGAATGATTTGGTAGAACACAGAACTTTGCCAATTATATTTTCTTGAAGATGTTATTTTCCTTTTGAAGATCTTAGAGAGTCTTCTCTTTAGACCGAGAGGTCGGCCGACAGTCTAACTGTCATTCCTTTCTATGCAATCTATGTTTTCTGTCATTGCTTTTGAGAGTTTCATTCTGTCTTGGGTGCGGAACCCTAGTGTGGGTTTGTTTTATTTGCTCTGCTCTGGCTGCAGAGTGCCTGTTCTGTCTGATGACTCATAGTGTTAATTCTGGGGGAAAAATATCTCGCCCACTGTCACTATGAATATTAACTGTCCCCATCCTACCCTTTAAAAAAGTTAATCGAGCTAATTTTGGGGAGTAGTGTCTGATTTATTGAAAAACTGAGCAGAAAGTAAGAATTCCCACATACACCCTCCCCCCACTCCTCTGCTAACATCTGGCATTCATGCATCCAGTCTTTATAAGTTGTGAACCAATGTTGTTACGTGATTATTCACTGAAGCCCACGGCTTATGTTGGGACTCACTCTCTGTGCTGTGCGGGTGACAGGCTTTGTCACATGCTCCATCATGTGGACCCACCATTACAGAACGACACGGAGCGATTCACTGCTCTGAGATCCCCTGGGCCACCTCTTCCTCTCCCACCCCCACCCCAGTACGTGGCAACTGCTGATCTTCTAACCATCTCTACAGTTGCGCCATTCCAGACGTCGTAATATCGGAACCCCACACAGTCACATGGAGTTGCTTGACCACAGGGACCCATGAGACCCCCATCACAGATGAGGTGACTCCCCTGGTGTGAACATCCCAGCGTGTGGTTACAAGCCCGCACGGTGAGCCGCTGCACTCTCGGGCTCCCGGGAGCCTGTCAGGACCAGTGGGCTCTGCTGTCTGTCACCGACCCACCAGCAGCCTTTCCAGCTTCCTTCCCTTTGCAGTGTGCATTTAAGCCTCCTCCGTCTTTCCATGGGGTGACAGCTCCTTTCTTTTTATCACTGAGTAGCAGCCCACTGCACAGACATACAGCTTGTTGGCCTGCTGACCTACCGCGGGACATCTTGGTTGTTCCCGAGTGTGGGCAGCTATGAATAAAAGTGCTATGACATCCACTGTGTAGTTAAATTTTCAACTCCCTAGGGCAGGTGCGGAGGCCCATCGCTGCCGGATTGCAGGGCGGGGACACGGTTACCTTTGCAGGAGAGGTCCCCTGCCCAGCACCACGGTGGTGTGGGGCGCATTCCCACCTGCGGCGAGGGGAGGTCCACACATCCTCATACACATGAGTGTGCCAATGTCTCGGGTTTCAGCGAGGGGCACAGTGATTCAAGAAGCCCTAAGGTACAGTTCCCGAAAGACACATCGTCACCTTATCTGTTTTAATCTTCTGAAAATTTTGCTCAAGATATTTTGGACCTTCCCGTCTTGCCTCTCGGTTATTAACTTGAATATTTTTCCATTCCTCGTCTCCCTGTCCTTCCATTAGACGGTTCCCACAGATCTGTGTTAACAGCTCATTAACACTTCATTTATTCATTCATTAGTAATACTAAGCTTTGTGATTTCATTTTAATCTGCTTTAATGGTGGCATTCCTCTGGCTCTTCTAAACTTCTGTCCTTTTTATATCATCACATGCTGCTCTTTTATTTGATTTCTAGAACTTTTATACATTTAATGATGTCAAATACAGATTTTCATATTAATTTCTGCACTGTCGCATCAGTCCTTGGGGGTTTTCATCCTTTGGTTTGTGATGTGTGCTGAGTTTCATAGTAGATTACTTCCTTGAAGCACTTGTAACTTCTGATGACGAACCGGTCTCCAGCCTTGCTGTCCTCTCCTGGAGCTCCCAGGCTCCAGACATGTCCCTCCAGGCAGGGGCTGGGGTTTGCTCCTGCCATGGGGCCAGTGGCTTTCCACATGCCAGTTTTGTATGAAATCAATATGTACTGTAATCACCACACCGTTCAGGTAGTTGCACATGTAGAACTCTACTTACTTGGGTTATAATTTCTTGGCTTCAAATAGATGGCGAGCTCTCCTATACTTTCCTGGCATTGATGGCCATTTTCTTCATATTCAAGGTTCCAGCTTTATGCAGTGGTACCGTTTTCTACTATGGTTACACAGCTCGGGGCCCTTGCATGGATATCAAAGCTCCGCCTCCAGGCCTTCAGCTGCTGCCCCTTACCTGACAGGTACCGTGGGACGTTCCCATCTGCTAAGGAATTCCTTCCTTTTGGCTAATGCTGGGTGCTGTGTGCACAGGCTTTTAATCCTGTACGTCGATGTGTCTGCGGCATGGAGGCCCCCACATCAGCCAGCCTCCCATTGCATCACAACCTCACACGTTCACACATGCCATCATGAGCGTGTGGCTGCAGAGGGACAGAGGTCCCAGTCTTCTCTCCCCTGGTGACAGTGCAGGGCCACAGCAATTCAGCAGTTCACACAGATGGCAGCTGCGCCCACCCGTGTTCACTGTATCTCTCAATAGCATCGTTTTCCCTTGTGCTTGATTTAATCTTGTGCTGTTTTGTTCACCGTGGCTCCTAAGTGCACAGAAGCCACTGCTAACATTGCGTTTGTACAAGGAAGTCTCCAGGCCACAGCCCTGCCATCAAGCAGTGCACAGCTGTATATATACATGGATGACTTTTGTCATCAGGACTAAAAAGTATACATATGTATAGGAGAAAAGAACAAGAATTATATCTCCTTATAAATTCACCCTTAGGGGTCTCCTTAGTGGCACAGGGGTTAAAGTCAGCATTATCGGGCTGTCGCCAGCCACGATTCCCAGCCAGGGAGCTGACGCCCATGGCGCAGCAGACCTCTCCTGACCCGCCTGCTGCTCCCCTCAGCAGTGGGTTTTGGTTGATCTGCCTGTTCTGCTCCCCACTCTGTCTCTGGTGAACACTCTCACCCCTGCACCTCTGGCCTGTTCCCCAGTTTTTATATGCATAAATAAATAAAAATAAATCTTAAAAAAATTAGGATCCTCTCTGGTGGCCAGGGGTTAAGTCTCAGCACTATTGCCGCTGTGGCTTGAGTTCCATTCTCAGCCAGGGACTGGCCCACGTGGCGCAGCAGACCCCTCCTGTCTCCCTGCTGCTCCCCTCAGCAGTATATTCCAGTAGATCTGCCTGTTCTGCTCCCCACTCTGCCTCTGGTCAGTCATCTCACCCCCTGTACCTCTGGCCTGTACCCCAGTTTTTGTGCGCATAAATAAATAAAATAAATCTTAAAAAATAAATTCACCCATAGGCAGGTGTCAGTTACTGGGCAGTGGGGCTGGTTCTTTTCCTGTGGCAGCGCTGGGGCCTGTACCCAGCGCAGGGTGGGAGAAGTGCTTGTTTCCTCCTCCGCCCACCACCAGCCTCTGTCCAGATGCCTCTGGGCCTCCGCTTGGAGTTTGTGAGGACACAGAAATGGGTCTTCTCACCATGTTTTCAATCCTCAGCATATCTCCTGTTGGGACTTGATCCCCTGAGAGCCAGGTTTGTCATCGGGAACAGGGTCAGCCTGGTTCTAAAACATCACTGCCCTCCCTTTCGAACTCCCCTCCTCTGCTCTCTGCCCAAGCCACAGCTCGCGCTGAATAAGTCAACTTGGTAAATCAGACCTGCATCCCCCAAAGGAGAGCAAATGCTCATTTTTCAGTACCAATTACAGCCTGTTCCAGTCATTTTCCAGTTAATCATTCCCTGCTTCGTGGCCTTCTACGCATGTACTGAACTATAGTTCAGATACTTTCTTATTTCGCTTTTAATTTACTCAAGTATACCGTAATCTCCTTCAGGGAGACCAGGGACGGTGGTTTA